AGGTACAGAAATTATCACATCTTTGGACACCGGTAAAATTGCTGACAAACTGCTGCTTACTTGTAAAGGAATTATCACACATTTATTTATATTTGATTTGTTGAGACTGATAAAATTACTGCCGAATATTGGTTGGTTACATAATGAACAACGATCACCTATGGAGGTGCACGTACAATGACTGTTCGGAATGGGTTAAGAATGGCTTACCTTAGCTTCCACCGCCGGAACGCCGCGCTCTTTCAGTTCATCGAATGGACGTTTCTATGATGCCCTTATAGAGCTATAATATTGAGGACAACACGGCCATTTCTGGCAATTTGTGGAGGTGTATAAATTTTCTGATTAACGTCACAAGAATGCTGGGTTGTGAACAAAACTTTCGCCCCAGACGGGACTCGAACCCGCACCTCTTGCTTTCCGGGCAAGTGCGCTACCAGTTACGCTACCGGGGCACCATTTCATCCCAACTCAGCTCCTGAGTTCAAGTTCCGTCTGGGGCGAAAGTTTTGTTCACAACCCAGCATTCTTGTGAAACATTCGCAAGGAAGTGCGGCCAAAAACAGCAGTAACGAAGACAAGTCTTCTGATTAGGTTAAAGCACCTCTGCTTAGATTGACACGATTCGTTTATGACTAGGCAGTTCTGTTGACATGGCCTAAGCGAAAGTCTTGAACTCTACCACTAGTGCTGACGTTTTGCGCTTGCTTACGACCAAATCCTAAACTTGTGGTTTTTGGACTTATACATCGTGCTACTTCCTCAAATAGTTGAGTGATCGCTTCGCTGTTCATATGAATACCGAGTAGCTCAATTCCTTTCAATTAGCTTCGTCGTCGGCTCTGGCACATTTTGCGTACTGGTGTCCGCCCTCATTCGGCATTTGGAGTGTCAGAATCACTACATACCTTCTGATGTTTTCATCGAATCGAGGTGGAAGTGATTGTGAGGGAGTCATTAGCTTGTTCAGTCTGCTACGCCTTTCAATACAAATCTTTGAAGCATTCAACAGTAACATTTGCTCACTCGACTTCTTTTCCTCCGCTGCATTTCGTTCTTAATGGAATGTTAGACACATGTATACCTATCCAAGCATATCTAGACAACGAATGTTGTGACATTCGCTTATTAAATTCTCGCATTCTCATCGCCTATTCCGTTATTATCACGAGAAAACCTGATCCATATCCTTCCCATAACAAACAACGGGCGACGCCCAAAAATCAGCTATTTCTTACACCATCACTTTTCTCCTGTGTCCCTACAGTAATCTCGATCTTTCATAGCCTATGGGGCCACTGAATTCAGTTGAAAACTGTCGTTAATAATTTCGTTTGTAAAGTGCGTTACATTGCAGATGATTTCTCGAGCCGTGGCTCTAATCGCCGTTCTTTTTGCAGTATTGGCGATATCCTTCGCTCATCAGCAGAGGGGAATGGTGAGCAAATTGAGCTGAAATTTCATACGTATAATTTGATAACAAGATGATTTAGGATGCAATGCCATCAGGATATCCTTTCTATCAGGATAGATCTTACACCTACACACCAACGCTTAGTCTCTATCGAACATTTCAAGCTAGACCGGTAAGTCTTGTCATGAACGACTGAATCTACTCATCTTACAGGGGGGTCTTTCAGGACATGGAGCGCTTTTTCAAAATGGTTTTCTGCATTTGTAGGGGCTCATGCGAGGAACACAGAACCATGGTCCATTTTTCCTGAACGCCCCCAGGAATGTCAAAACAGTGGGAAGAAATGGTCCAAAGTTCGATCCCCCGTGATGACAAATTTTTGCAATTTATGTTGGCGCCTCCAAATTGCCGCAAAACACGACAATGACATCTATTCTCGACGATGGCGCCATTTGGCGGCAATCTGGGGGCGCCAAACTATATTGCAAAAATTAGTCATCACCGGGGATCGAACTCTGGACCATTTCTTCACCACTGTTTTGACATTCCTGGAGGCGTTCAGGAAAAATGGATCATGGTTCTGTGTTCCTCGCATGAGCCCCTACAACATGCAGAAAACCATTTCGAAAAAGCGCTCCATGTCCTGAAAGACCTTCCTTGTTAGAGCGCACAGCTCATGTACCCTCCCGTTCAAAAAACCAGAAGAGCGTCAAGTCATACACCACAAGTGACGACGGTCTCCTCCGAGTAAATCTGGTTAGTAGTGGTTCATAGTGATAGCTGATTTTTGGTAAATGATAGTTGTAATTAGTGACAACTGATAGAATACAACTGCAACAGGCTAATCATTTCATTGGCAGAAAACACATTTTGGAGGCCGTCGTCACTTGTGGTGTATGGTCTGCACCCGACGCTCTTCTCCTTTTTTGAAAGGGGTATAAACAGTTGTCCCATGATTTCATGTGCCATTGTAGTGCAATGCATTGATTCCGCTTACAAGAAACATTTCATGTGTAAAATGAAATTCATTGAACTAAGTGCACAAATTTTCCGGTTTCGAAGCGCAACAACGCAGAAGTTGTAAATCATATCCTGAAAAACTTTGGCACGTTGGATCGGCTTGGTGACGTAGGGAAGTAGAAGACGACGTCAGAATTATCTGCACAAACACAAGAGCTACACAAGTCCAGCCTCACTGAGAGAAATGTTCAAAACAAGGAAATTTCACGATCAGTACTTATCTGTTAAGCATCTTCATGTTAAGAGGAGCTCTACAATAAATGTTATATTTATGTATGTGTGCAGTATTTTTTCGCGATAAAAGGACAAAGGATAAAGCATTTGCGCATTGATCAATCCCGTTTTGGGATGCGGCACGCATTCTACTTCCATTTGTTCGTAGTGGCGTTTGAATGCGATGTGGCCTATACAATGACTTGCGGGGGCCAGCCGATGTTCAAGTCAGTGTTTTTATCCTCCCAGACAAGTCTGGTACCAATTAACCGACCCCGGAGGGATGGAAGGCTTGGTTGGCCCGGGCGACTCACGACCCAGGATTTGATCCCCGGACCGCTCGCGTGGTAAGCGTGCCACCACCACTGTACAATACATTTGTATTGAAAGGAATGATATTCACTGAATATGCTTCCCTTTTGTCGTAAGTATGGCTCCCAATTGCTTGGAACGCAACTCTACTGTGGCCCCCAT